CACATGTAATTATGATATCAGAAACCTGGCTGCATGAAGGCATTCGGGACACTGAAGTGGTACCGCCTAACTACAGTCTCATTCATATAGATTGGTGCTCCCGAGGTTGCAGGGTTGCTATAGTAGCTAGCACTGGGAGATGCTGTTAACGCAGAAAGTGCTTGGTGCAAGTTGAACTTTTTTGGAACTCGGATAACACCTGGAACCGTCTACAAAAGAGAAAGTCTAAAAAAAGAAAAATAATCAAAAGAGGTAACTCATGTAACTGATTACTTAAAATCGCAAACACTAATAATCAAACCAAGATGGTAACAGGAGGACCTAGACTAGCCACTCCCCTAGGCTAGCACTCCCTCCTTTTGTACCTGGGCTAGCCACTCCCTCCTGTGACCAACTTAACGTTGGGAGCCTGAAACTCCCAATGTTAAGTTGGTTACAGGAGGGAGTGGCTAGCCTAGGTACAAAAGTGTCCAAGTCGCCGCTTGAGCTCGTTTTCAGTCATAGTCTTCGTCAGGTTGTTACAAAACCGATGCGTGTCAATAGCACATACTGTTTCCTGCTTGATTTATTGCTTGTTAGTAAACACCTTGATGACTCCAGTGTTTTTGTTTGTGACCGGATAGCTGATCACAAACTGGTATTTTTCAAATGCAATATCTCTGAATGTCACACGAACCTGGTTGAAATGAAAATGTACTATGATTTCGAGAGGGCGAATGATGAGTGTGTAGTTGATTATCTCGAGTAATACAGTCAAACTCCTCTACAACGAACGCTTCTACTACGAAATAGCCTGCACAACAGGCTATTTCGTTGCTTATCTGCTTTATTGGGATCATTAAAGTGGGCGACGGATATAACGAAGTGACGTGTATAAGAAAGAATTATTGCAGTCCCACACGCTTCGTTATACAGGCGTTTGACTGTAAATTAATTACTTCGATCTGTTAACTGATGTTAATGAAATGTGGTTAAGATATAAGTCCACAGCGAACCATTGCATTGCCTATTTTATTCCTCAAAAGCAAGACTTATTGCCAAAACCCATGGATCACAAGGAATATTTTGCGCGCAAAATGAAAACTGAAATAGTTCCGTAAGCGCCATTCGCACGCTGTTTATGAGCAGGCTAAAAAGAATGATAATATTAGCGAAAGAAACATACTTCTTAAAGTCATTGCCCAAATTTCTCGTGTCTTCCCCTGAAAAGTTCTGGCGTTATCTATCACCGGTGAGAAGCAGCACCACCCAGTTGTGCATTGACAGCGATTCAGTGAGCGACAAGACAAACATTGGGTTTGAATTTAATTGCCATTTTCAATCCGTGTTTACAAGGGAGTCGAGTCATCAAAATTCAATATCACGGAGTGATAATATAAGCCATCTTATACCTGAGCAGGGTATTCTGTCATTGCTACGTTCTCTCAATGCTAAAAATTCATCTGGACCAGACGTTTTACCCAACGCATTCTGAAATGGTATGCTGAGTAGTTTGCCAAATACCTAACAAACATGGTCACTAGATCAGTTCATGATGCAGTATTGCCGGATGACTGGCTAGTAGCTAGAGTTGTTCCCGTCAAGAAAAGTGGGAGAGGCGACCCGGTTGAAGACTCTCGCCCTATATCTCTGACCTGCGCATTTTGTATATTGTTAGAACATATCTCATTTCTTTCCTCGAAGAAAAGGGTAAGATTAACCTCAGCCAATATGGTTTTCGTATTGGCCTGGCAACAGTGACTTGGCTCATTTAATTTTACCATGAATTATCCAGCTATGCCAGTGATCGAGCCCAGGTGGATGCAGTGTTTGTTGATTTGTCGAAGGCTTTTGACCGAGTACCTCACTGTAAACTAGTTAAGGGAGGAAGTGGGTTTTCAAAAACTATTTTTTGTTTATTGGTCTATCTCAATCATTTTTTGCGCAGGCATGCAGTTTATTGTGCTGATTTCGTAACTGCAATCAGATTTCAGGTATCCCTTCTTTGTCAAAAGTTATCAACAAAATAAAATATTAATTAGCTAATTTCAGGAAAAGTTTTAAAAAACCTTCTTATTAAAATTTTAAGGAAAAAAAGGTATCAATTGCTTCCTAAAGAAATGCCATACAAGCTAAAGCCATTTTTATTTCTTTTGCACCATATAAACATGTAAAAAAATTAAAGTGAATAGAAGACATACAATAGGGGCTATAACAATGTCTAATAATGAAATGCCAGTTTTATATACCACAAAATATCATAATAAAAATAGCTTTAGCTTGCAGTCTAGTTCATTCCAAAGAATATGGTACCAAGTTTATGAAAATCGGTTGAGCGCAAGTGAATCAAAAAGCCTTCCTGGCCGGAGAAGAGGCTGAAAAAAACAAAGCTGAGAAAATCGACTTTGAAATTTGGGTATGCACAACTAACAACATTGAAGCTTTAGATGGGTGAAATGCCTTTGGTTTGAATATCATACTAAGGGAGAGACACGGGTAGGGAAAGCAGCCCCATATGCAACAATTGGTTAGCCCTCAGAAGGGCTTTTTTAGGGGACGTGGGGACGTTTTCAAAGCACCAGCTTGTGAATGGGCGCGGCCATTCCGCACTGCTCACATTTGGCGGTCGCGAAGAATATGATCAGCACGTTCAAATCCACAATCACAAATTGCGTGCCGAAATCTGACTCTTTATCCTTGACAGTGACATTGAGGAGGTCAAACTTCCGTTGTGTGGCAGACATCTTCGCGGTCAAATCCTGCTTCATCTCGTCAGCCCGCGCCGCACGTTGAGCAGTTTCACTTGCCGTGTAGAAATGCGAGTCGAGTTGTGACGCACCAGGGCCAAAGCCGTTGTGTTCTTCGTTGCTCACATCAGGGCGGGCACCTCGGAAGACGACGCAGCTGCTGACAGCTGAACTTGCCGCATGTCCGCCGCAAGCAACGCGGCTGGCGATGCGACCGAAGTCCTCTTGTTCTACGCCCGACGCTTCCGAATGCCGTACGCACGTTGCGTTGAAAGCTTCACGCTAGGCATCGCAATCACTACCGATGTCTCCTAAAGACGTCGAGTTAAACAAAGCAGGCGAACGCCGAAAAATAATGTGCTTGAAGCCAAAACGCAACCGCTAGCAGACGACAAACAACGATATCGGCTGCTCCCGACTCCTTCCGTGCCGCGAGGAAGGAGAGGAGAGAGAGGAGAATGACATGTTTCAGGAGAGGAGGCATGCGCTTCGGCCAATAGCGACAGCGCTCGCTGCGGCCCGTGCTTCTTAGCCAATCGGTAGCTCGGTTTCTTTCTCTGGGGAAACGCGGTATTCTGTGCTTTCCCCGGGCGGACGGCATTTTTAATGGCGCCAAAAATGTAGACAAAGAAGGAAGCTTCCGAACGAGACCAAAATGGCCGCAAACGGGCGCGCACCGGCGGAGCGCGGAGGGCGCGCGTTTCCACATCAGTTTCCTCTTTCGGTAAGATTTTGGGCGCGTTCCACGCGACGTAATTATCGTTTTTTTTATACTTTCAGTTTGAATTATGCGACAATATTTTGAAGAGAGGCGCTTGGATATGCAAGGTACCCAAATACAGGATTTCTGAAAAATGAACTTTTTCGCGATTTTTTGCATTTTTAGGACCCGCGTCCCCCCTTAAAGTATACTTAGACCATAAAGTTCCTTCATATATCATTAGCCGGAGAAATGCATGCCTCACGAATAGCCAGCAATTCATAGTGGTGCATGGTGCCTTTTCTGGATTGCTAGGCGTTCATTCTGGAGTACCCCAAGGTTTGGTCTTGGGCCCCTTGCTTTTTTTTTATATATATAGGTTAACAGCTTGTTTTCAATTTCAACTGACGGCTCCATAAAAATTAGGATGTTTGTAATCTACATCCCTAGATATTCAGTAGAAGGCGAAATAAATTTGAAGAGCACTTTATCGTGGTGCCAAGAATACAGCATGATGATTAATGTTAATAGAATGCAGTGCATGCATGTTGCAACAAAAATAAATGTATTGAGCTTTAACTATGTTGCTTGTGTATTCCAGCTGACGACCGTTGAGAATTGCAAATATCTGGGAGTGATTATTTCAAGTGATTTATAATGGAGCAAGCATGTCGAGTACATTGAAAAATGAAAAGCTGGCAAATTGTTGTTCCTAGAAAGAACGCTGTCACCGTGCCTGGGCTGACATTCGAAAACGCTACCATTTGCGTTCCCAGCGAGCTCCGTGAGTACCTTGAACGGCACCAAAGGGCGCTTAGACGTCAGGCGTTGGGGTGTTACGTACGGGTAGCAAACAAACTTGTAAGAGGCGACGTCGGTGGTCTTCCTTGGAGGCACGAAAGGCCAGAAGCAAGCTGCAATACTACGGAAATCTCAGGTAGATGGATGGAGACCGCCTGGCTAGGCATCTTTTCATCTACATTCACTCGAAGAATGTCAACTCGACGTGGAGGAAGCGAGTTATCCGGCTTGGCACGAAGTTTGGCATCTTCTCCTTGGACACCAATCCGGAGACTAAGAGAAAATGGGTGGCTACATTGCAGGTACGAACTTCTGAGACAGACCGTTCGGTTACTAGTGTGCGGCAACACACAATCGTGTGTCTATGCGCATTGCCAAAGATGGAGGGTTGGCCCATTGACATTGTGTGGAAACACGCTGGGTGGTAGGCTTCTTATTGAGGTCCGTGGTGGTGCCCTGCGTACTTGACCATACCGACACATGTATGACTCTGGTGTGATGGACACGGCATGCAGCGCGTGTGGAGCAGACGAAGAAACTATTGAACACTTGCTGCTCACATGCAAGGCTCTGTTTCCGATGCCTGTTCGGGACTGCCGCATTGAGAAGGCGCTAAAGCGGAGGTGCAAGTCGGTTAGCCCAACGGGCTCAAAATCTTGCTGGTACAAGCACTTGAGATGACCTTTGCTCATGTGTGAGTAAGCGTGAGCTATTTATTGTGATATGGGCACATGCACGGTATTTTATGGTATTGGCACTCCCCTATCTTGCAGGAGGCACTCATGGAGAAATTCCAGGTTCCCTCTCAGAGGCTGAGGGCCTACCTGCACTACCAGCCTTCCTACTACCACCTGCACGTGCACTTCTCCGTGCTGGGCTTTGAGGCGCCCGGCACGCAGGTGGAGAGGGCGCACCTCCTCTCCACGGTCCTGTCCAACCTGGAGATGTGCGGGGACTACTACCAGAGGGCCACGCTCGGTTACACGGTCAAGGAAGGGGACAGCCTCTGCGACAAGTTCAAGGAAGCCGGGTACTTCGACAAGCCGGAGGAGAAGCCCGTCGAATGACCCTGCCCCGAGGACTAGCTGTCTTCTTTTATTTGTTTCTATTTTATTAAACAGCCACACGCAGGCAGAAATGAAATGTTTTTTACGGCATGGCTTCATGGCGGATCCCGGGGTTTGTTTGGCCTACAGCATGGGGCTGTGGCCGGCTAAATTCAGTGGGGAAATTACGACGTCACGTCACGTCGCTTGGAGCGTTTCCCCCAAGTTTGCCGGGGAAATTGCGACGTCATCCGACACTCGGAGGTCACGCGATGTGCTTCCCTGCTAAATTTAGCAGGGAGAAAATATGGTGTCGCCTGACACCGAAACGTCACAAGGAGAGTTTCCCCGCTAAATTTAGCGGGGAAATTTCTTTGGTATACTGCGTTTCATCTTGAGTCCAGATGCAGCCGACGCCATGAGCTGATGGGATCTATCGGACAGTGTCAAAAAGGCACAGGCTTGGTGTTTGCCATGTTCATGTTTTTGTTTTATCATCGCTCTACCAATCATCCACAGAGAAGGCTTTGTAACTTGCACACGCCGCCTGATTGGTCCCATTAGTTTGTGGCAGCGGCTGTGTCTGAACTTAAAGGCCGACGTACAACCTCGGTTTCCTGCAAGGAAGATAATCCTCTTAGTGCTCCTCTTTCCTAAGCTGCAAGGAGAGCCGATTTGGGGCCACGACCCACTCTATAAAGGGGCGACCAGCTCACCTTCTCCTGCCACAGCGCCGCTTTTTGTTTTGCTTGTTCGGTTCTTTTTTTTTAGTTCGCCTAGTTCCCACCGCTCCCGCTGGCGCTGCTTAGAATCTCCACTTTCCCCGCTGCGTAGAACACTCGTGAAGCGTGGGGAGGCTAGCACAGGCTTTCTTTTGGCAGGTGTGTGCGTGCACGAATGGTTTTTCTGGCTGAAAATAGCTCAACGTTAATGGTAAAGTGGCACTCATCGAAGGGCTGTGATGGTTTGCTGCTGTGTGCCGCTGTGCAAGTCGAGCACGCGGACTTCAACGGGAGTCGCCTTCCACGAGTTCCCGGTGACGGAGATCTGGAACGACTGGCTGAAGATCTCTCGCCAAGCCGAAGGTGAATCACTTACCCACCAAACTATGTAGCATAAAGAGAAAATATGTTTTCTTCATGTTCATAGCACAAAATAAGTCGTGGTACGTATATGTTTACAGCGTCGCCCTTTACACACCGTGTCGCGAATGTTGGACGTTGTACCTCCCTCATTTTGAGCGTTTAGTTAACTATGCACTGATGCTGATATATCTACATACAGGATCAGCCGTCATTCATCGGAAGGAATAGAGTTCGCGTGTTAATGTTCCGAGCTTGCGAATTTCAGATGACGCGGAACTTGCTGACGGTGTATATTTTAATTATGGGCATGCGACTAGACGGCTCCTACCCCGTACGGGGTAGGAGCCGTTTTGTCGCACCGGGGTCAGGATGGTCAGGAACGCCCTGTGGAGTTTACTTCTCGCCGGCTTCATGCAGCCGAGCAACGCTACAGCCAGCTGGACAAGGAAGGCTTGGCGCTAATGTTCGGGATCGAGCGCTTCCACCAGTACCTGTGGGGCCAGAAATTCGAGGCAGTAACGGACCACAAGCCACTGCTGGGGCTGCTGGGGCCTGACAAGGCGGTTCCAGTGCAAACCTCGCCTCGTGTGGTACGCTGGGGCTAGACGCTGGCGGCCTACAGCTATAAGCTGGTCTACCGCCCTGAGCCGCCTGCCCCTGCCGGAGGTGCCTGCTGCCGTTCCAGAGCCAGCTGAAGTTTTCCTGCTGGAGCGGGCCTACTCAGGGGTACTCACCAGGACTGTGGTGGCACAGGCGAATGCGCCACCGCAGTCGCCTGCGGTGGTCAAAGCGGTGTCCCGATGGGAGGAGCTGCGTCACCAGACGTACAGCCACAAGGCCGCCGAGCTGAGCTTGGAGCAGGACTGCCTGCTGTGGGGTTCCAGGGTGGTAATTCCACAAAGCCTACGGGCCAAGGTCCTGCAGCTAGTTGCTGCATGCAGGGCACTTTTGCGTGGAAAAAACCAAGATGGTGGCACGGTCGCACGTTAGGTGGCCTGGCCTGGACCAGGACATCGCGCACAAGGTGCAAGGCTGCCAGGTCTGCCAGGAGAATCGGCGAGGCTCGCGCCACGTGGAGATCACCCCTTGGCCATTCCCACAGAGGCCCTGGTCCCGCCTGCATGTGGATTTTGCGGGACCCTTTTAGGGGCCACTACTTCCTAGTAGTAGTGGACGCCTTCTCCAAGTGGGTGGAGGCACTGCCAGTCACCACTCCATCAGCAAGTGCGACCATTGCGGCGCTGCGGCAGGTCTTCGCGGCACAGGGATTGCCGTACATTATTGTGTCCAACAATGGTCCCACTTTCGCCAGCGCCGGGTACCTGGACTGGCTGCAAAGGAATGGGATCCGCCGGATGCTGGTTCGCCGTACCACCCCGCTTGCAATGGTGCAGCCGAGCGGGTGGTACAGACCATCAAGAACAAGCTCAAGAAGAGCCAGCTTGGGGATTTCCGGACGCAGGTGGCCCGGGTACTGTTCCAGTACCGGACCACACCCCAGGAGGTCACTGGCCGTGCCCCCTGCGAGCTTTGTTGGGCCGGATGGTCAAGACACCCTTGGACGTATTGCATCCAGACCTCCGGTCCACGGCGCTCCTGAAGCAGCTAAAGCAGAAGCTGGCTGCTGAGCGAGGGTGCCGTCCCGGGACTTTGCCGGAGCCGGGAGCGTCGGTCTACGCCAGGAACTTCCGTCCTGGCCCACCCTGGTCTGTCGGACATGTGGTTTCCCCAGCGAGTGCCTCGTCGCTACTCGTCCGCATGCCCGACGGGACCACCTGGCGCCGGCACGCCGACCATGTCAGGCCTCTCTTCAGGAATGGGCTTGCACCTTCGGCCGTCGCTTCGGAGGACCAGCCCGCAAGGGGACCAACGACAGCACCAGTCGCGGCCAGTGGAACGCCACCCACCACGGAGGCGACAGCGTCGCCACTCCTGTGGCACCAGTTGGACCGATGCCACTCACAAATCCGGTCCCTGCTGCTCCACCGGATGGAGCGCGACCAGTTCAGGCAGCGCCCGGCATTGCCACACCTGGCCCGTCGACACCAGTGATTAGGCGGAGTACGCGGCAGCGAAGGCCACCTGACCGTTACTCGCCGGGGTAACCTTCGTCGTCGACTGGCCAGGACTTGGCAAGACCAGACGCAAATTGGTGTCGGCCGTGTGCATTGTTTATTTGTTCATTTTGTTTTTTTGAAAAACAAACGGGGGGGGGGGGGGGGGAGAGGGGGGGAGGAATGTGACCAGTAGGTAGCACCCCCTCCAGTCTACCCGTCTGTGGCCCCCAGGCTCGGCGGGTAACATTGGTCACCGCGCCAATAAACACTGTGGAGCGTACGCCGCCCCGGTCAGTCATCGTCCACCCTCACAACCAGGCTGAGTGTTGTTGTTCTAGACGGGTGCTTCGGCCCCCTTCGTCCACATTCTAGAAGGATCGTGACAGTTCGTTTATCTGATGCGCGAACCATACTCATATTAGTCAGTTTGTCTGATGATAATTTTTGGTGGCTCCGAGGCAAGAGCGCTGGCCTACGGATTGCGGTGAGTTCGAATCCCCGCCGAGGTGCCCGCAATCTGATGGAGGCTTATTGCGGAGAAGGCGTAACCGAGCTTTCGGTTGCACGTCAAAAGGTCCCCATGTGGTCCAAATTAATCCTCAGTCCTCCGCTGGGGCGTGCCAGATGCCCGTCGTAGGTTTGGCACGTAAAACCCCCAAATTTGACTTTTGATAATTTTATTCTACATACAAATAAAATTTGGGCTTAATTGTATTGTTCACAACTGCGTGGTTTTCAGCCGATTTACTTGCGTGGTAAGTTGCAATTTCCAAATGTTTCCAGGCCCAGGAAAATAGCCATGGATTCCGAGTTACAGGAGCAAAATGTGCAGCCTTCATTTCAAGTCGGGAAAAGACGGAGGTTGTAAACAGATGCTATACCATTGATCTTCCCTGACTACCCAGCTTATTTGCAAGCAGCGCCTACAAAGGAGCGACAAACATTGAAGCGTAGAGCCGTGGCACCAGTTTCTACTCTGACCCATCAAGATGCCAAGAAAAGATGAATGCACTATCTATTGCAGATTGGTGTTCATCAGATTTCTCTTCTTCCTGGCTTTGAAGTGCAGAATTGTGCACTTGGAGCCTTGTGGTTAATATATTTTTTTTAGCTCTTACTATTAACAACTCTGACTTTTTTCAGGTTGGATTGCTCTAGAGCTGCTGGTTCTGGCGTTGATGCCACAGCTGCGATGGTGTCTGTCACAACGGCCTTAGGGCAGCTTCCACCTACGCTGCTGAACCCTGGGACTGTGCCAAAGTCGTCTCCCGAGCCCACCACAGAGCCCCCGACCAAGTCCTCCCCGGAACCCACTGTGAAACCCTTGGAGTCCCCCTGTTTGGAGCCTATGCTGAACCCCGGGCCTGTGCCAACCCAAGCGAAAATTTCTAACTGGGACCAGTTGGCACCTCAACTGGTTTTAACTGGGACTAACTGGTACCAACTGGGAATGAACTGGGACCAATAGGAGTCCAACTGGGACCGGCTGAGGGGTCAACTGGTTTGAACCATTCCCAGTTGGGAGTCAACTGGTTTGACTCCCAGTTGGGAATGGAGTGAACTGAACCAGTTAGGAAAGTAACTGGTTGGAGCGATTCCCAGTCGGACTTCAAATGCCTTTCCCGTTCTCAGTTCACACGGGGCAACAATTTTGACAAGTTGGGGGTTTATTGACCTTTGCTAATGAAGAAAACTAAAAACACTTAAATTTTTAGATTTATACAAAGGGAAATTTTTAAGTACTGGCTACATTTATATATTTGTAAAAATAATATAAAAATTTGAATTAACTAAATAATTTTTAATTGGAAAATATAATTAGTGACAAAATGTGTTCACCTAAAGTGGTCTTTTGACGGCGCCCGAGTCAACGAGTTATCAGAGCTCTGCGAGTTATGAGTTGCTTCCGCTCCCATATGTCAAGCCTGGTTCAGACAGTTGCGTTTGACT